ACCCCTTAAAGCCCCCCATCAGACCCACTAAGTGCCTGTTTTCAGAGCCCCACTGCACCCAACTCCCAGAGTCTCCCCAGTGCCAACCCCCATCCCCAGAGTCCTCTCAGTGCCATCCCTGCGCCTATATCTTCCTCACTACTAGCCCCGCCCCGAGAGCCCTCCAGTGCCAGCTCTCCACCCCGGATACCCCAGTGCCCCAACGTGTCAGCCCCCTGCCTCTTAAAGCTCCCCAGAACTTGTCCCACCCGCTGTAATCCCCCAGTGCCTGCCCCATCCCCCCACCTAGCCCTGCGCTGCCTCCCAATTGAGTGCTGCTGCTGTAAGGTTGCCATGCTGGCCACGCAGCGAAGCCAGCATGGGAACCCACCTCTGCCCTGCACTGGTTGGTTGAAAGGTGGGGCAGGACAGGCCTCTCCCAACAACCGCAGTGGGCGGGGAGGTGCTGGGTGGTGTGTCTCAGCCCCAGCCCCCAGAATCTCCACAGCCCGGCAGCCAGAGGTCCACAGACCGGCCGCTGGGAACCGCTGCTCTAGTACAATTGTGTCTGCACCTGGGTTTGGACTGCTATAACTAGATCAGTAAAAAAAAATTGCATCTAACTGAAAAAGTTACATGGGCACAACATCTGGAAGAAGAGTAGGCCTTCAGATTTTGCCCTTTGGGAGAGCTGTGAAAGGACCACAGCCTAGAATTCATTGCTGAGTCCTTTTCTGGCTGACATGACTTCTTAGCTTCAGGTCAGGCAGGTAGAACCCTTGCCTCTTTCTTCCATTGTAGAAGTGAACAAAGATGTGAAAAAGGCCTCTCCCTAGCTTACCACAGCAGCTAACCTGTCAGCCATGCAGGAAGGGAGAAACAATAAAAGTTGTAGATCTAGCCAGAAGATTTTGAAATACAAGTGAATAATGAACAGAACATTATCAGTGTAATGTCCTTTATTAAGTTGACTTTAAAAACATGGTGGATGTGTCTTTAACTGCATATTTTCCCACATTGGCAGGCATGTGAGGTCATTAATCCCATTTTCTTTGTGCCTGTCATGTCAGAGAGTGAGAAGTGTTAGATGGAAAGACAGTGTGGGGCTATGAGCCATGAAAATCGGAGGCTCGCTTGTAGGAGCTCTCCATCTCCTAGTCATTTCTGTATTTGTGAGTCACAAAAATGTGCATTCTTTCCCTCTGCTCAGCTAATGTGAGACACTGACATTTCCCTTTGGAATAAGACCGCTTTCCAAAGAGTCAGACTTTTTTAGTATTTGGGGGTTTGTCCTAGTAGTATTCATGACCGGTTACGCATTTCTGAATGTAGAACAGAGGCAATAGAAACAAATTCATGCTTAGTCCTTCAAAAAAAAAAAATCACAAACAGCGCAATAGTAAATCCAAGTGAAAAGATTAAAAGGTAGTCAGCTTTGTATAAAGATCCGGAGATTATTAGGAGACTGATTTAAATCATTCACAAATTAAGTCCTTCCAGGAAGAGCATTTTAAGAAATAGCTGAAAAATGGTTTTAAAATTTGGACATTATTAGCTTATGAATGATAAATTTTTGCTTTATGTTGTACTTAAATTAGGATGCTTAAAGTGTTTCACAATACCACCTGATATTGTGGCATCCCTATTTGCCATTATACAGTACTTTAAGACCAAAAGTGTTTGCATATTCCTAATAGCCAAACTTTTCTTTGACTGTTGCACAGAGATTTTTGTGGTAAGATAATAATCTTGGTGCAACTTTCATTGATTTAAAAGAAATAAACACTGAATGAATCATGAAAATTTGCACATTTAATAAATCAGGTAATAGATATTAATTTGTTTAAACTGCTTTAGATCAATAATGCTAACAACAAATTTCAGGTTAACAAAAACTTGGTGTAACATGACTGGATTTAACAGCCTGCAATTTCATGAATGATACCACCTTAGGGTACAACTGCCATCTTTAATTCTGATGAGAAAGTCTAGGGTAAAACTACATAAAAGATACATAATAGTGGAAGCTGTGAAAAGTTGATATATGGGAGTTACTCAGTGCAGCTTCTGTAGGCTGAGAAAAGGAACACTATTTCTTTGAAATGCTCTTAGGAAGATCTCCAGACCCTTTGGTTAGTGGTTCTGGAATCAGTATGGAATGCTGACAACAGAAAGCAAACCCATAATTGTCTGTATGTGACCGCGCCAAGGAGTTGGAATGTTTAAAATCAGTTAGGCGCAGGCCTCCTCTTCTTTAGTATGTGACTTCTTAAAATGTTTTAAGATAATTTCTCTCTTGAAGTTTATAAATAAATGTTTTCAGATGACCAATGACTTGATAAGAAAAGGAAATTTTCAGTGCCCTCAAAATGATTTTGGAGCATAACAAACAAATTGTTAGAAATAATTTTACACTACATTGTTAAGAAAACTGGAACCTTGCTTGTGTACTGTAGATGTCATTCACTTAACATGGGATATATTGTTAGAAAATTGTCACATCTTTTCAATTAATAGTGTTCTGGGATTATTTTGCTTGTTTTTGAGTTTTCCATACGTACCATAATTTTAACTGAGGAATGAAGTACCTGTTCCTCTTGCATCCATGCAGTATTTAAATTCCACTTCCTGAAGTTCAAGAACATATTTTCATATAGTCAGAGCTTGATAAACTCCGATGGGATTGTTTCAGCCTCAGAGATTTGCTCAGTTCTTATCTGAGACAGAATTTGGCCCTTGATTCTATCCTGTCACAACATAATAATTAAGTGACAAGTTTTCTCCTATCACAATCCAGGTTCTGAGTATTGGTTTTGGTAGGCTAAAGGCAACCCTCGCCAAAGGTATGATTCCATATATGATTCATGCCAACACTGAACATGTAGCACCTGATGTTCTCTCAGTGCACTTTTTTTAAAGGCAATTGACTAATGTTGATGGTAAGCTGGATGCTTAGGAAAGTTATAGTCCAAAACATCCTGAGTATCCTTAAACTATGTATTCCTGTAGTGGGATTTTTTTTTACTGCAATTTAAAATCCATCACAAGGAAATTTCAAGATGGAGAAAATCAGGTTACTTAGAATCATAGAAGCGTAGGTAAGGAAGTGACATTGAGAAGTCAGCTGGTCTAGCCCCTGTCCTTAGGCAAGGGCCATTCTTGTTCGTCTAACCCAGGGGTGGGCAAAGAAGCCTTACAGGCCAGATCTGGCCTGCCAAACTGGTGGATCTGGCCTGAGTCCACTCTGTCACTCCTCAGGCCAATCGAGACCTGGGGACAGGGGAGTGCACGAATTCAACTCCCCACCTCCAGGGGCGTGCGGTGGCTGGAGAGAAACACCGGCTGTATTAAAACAACTGGTGTTTCTCTCTAGCAGTCATACGCCCCTAGCAGGGCGGGGCCAACAGGCAAAAGACTTTGCATGTACCCTGGTGGGGGAGCACACGAGATCTCCTGCTGAGGCACCTAGAGGGAACCACTAGCTGTTTTAAAACAGCTAGCGATTCTGTCTGGGTTGTGGGGGACGGAGAAGGGGAAGGAAGACTTCATGCATTTCCCCACCCCTAGGCTAATCAGGGCCTTTGGGAAGGGGAGCATGAGAAGTCTCCTGGCCCCACACCTTCTGGGGCAGCTCAGGGCCACTTCAGAAATGTATGAAGTGGCCCTGTTTTAAAAATGACTGCCCACCCCAGGTCTAACCTACTCTTAAAAACCTCCAGTGATGGGGATTCCACAGTTTTCCTTGGAAACTTCTAATGCTGAAGTATCGTCAATAACTATGTTTGTAAGGTAATTGTTTCAATACACACTCTCAACCCTCCTCTTTGTGCTAGGGTATCTGGACCACATCAATTCCTGGTCATTCAAGGGAAGGATACAAACCACAAGGCTTATTGATGGGAAGAACAGAACACTGTTAACCGAGGGTCATGGGTCAAAGTAGATGCTTTCTGCTCTCTTCTTGGATATTTTTAAATTGGTTTCAGATAAACCAAGTATAACAAAACAATGGAAACCTATAGTAGTGAAGTTACCTGCACTACCAGGATGATGGCTTAGATGACCATCTTTACTTTTCCCCCTTTGCATAAATAGTCTTTTTTTCTTACTTGTAGACAGTTCTGCTATGTGTACTTTAAATATTACAAAGGAAAGGGTTTCTCAGTGCCATGATTAAGTGACGTCTTCCACTTTATAAGCTCCAGTTGTGCTACCTGTTCATTCTCTGTCATTTTTTGTATCCTCTTACTAGAAAAATTACTTGTCATTTCCACCCAAGGAATTGTGCATGATTTTTGTCCCTCATCAATCCCTTTTGAACTAGCTAAAACAGATTGGTTTTGCTGAGGACAAAGTCCACCTACCAGTCTGAGGAAAACGGGTCAGATAATTACACAGCTTCTCTATGGCTGCTGCTTGAGTCTCCTCGATGGAACAGGAGAGTCGGTTCGGAAATAGGAAGTTGCTGCCCCTGGATCCTCCTAGTCCAAGGCCTACTAGCAACACTCCTGCCTCAACCTGCAGCAATTTAGACTCGGAGCCAGGGTACAGAATCCCACTGAAACCTGTTCTGCAGCCACTAATGCTCCATGAAGCGGAGCAGCAGTCGGGTTAGTTAGATCAGTCAATGATAAGTTAAGGGGACTCCCCATGACTCATGTAATATGTCCAGTTTTTCACAGTCTGCAGTACGGAAGCTATATGCTTTAAAAATCCCTCCATGTCTTCCACAAAAGAATGCAGAAAACGGTGCAGTTTTGTCTGGATGTTGCCTATAGTTTTACATATATTAATATTTCTCATTCAGGCAAGTATGCGTATTTTGTAAAATGGATGTTCAGATGTTTGTAATCCCAGCGTGAATTTCCACTGCTCATGACGAAGCCAGTACGTTTTCTACTCTTATCTTTAAAATTCTGCAGAAGTGTTTGGGTATAGAATGACCGTGCAACTTTGACTGCATCAGGATTGTACCATACAGAAGTACCTAACCTTCCTTTGTCTCCATTGATATTATGCAGGTGCTCGTTAGCGAGGATTCTGATAGCAATGGAATTGTGGCCCATTTCCCTGCTCATGAAAAGCCTGTTTGCTGCATGGCTTTTAACCCCAGTGGTAAGTTCTTTTGCCATCGTTCATTTTGTATCGTATCATATGTGAAAAGTAAAACTTGTGGTCATGTGTATTATGGGTTTTGTTTTCAGGGAATTAAAAATTACATCAGCCTTTTAGTAGTCCCTCAGGGTACATGCACATGATGACTTAATAAACATTGGTATATGAAGTCCTTTAGTTGAGTGTTGAATATCAATTGAAAGAGGCCATGTCTGTACTTACTGTGCCGGAGATCAATCTTCTGGCATTTGATGTAGAAGGTCTAGTTAAGACCCGCTAAATCGAATGCTGAGGGACTCTGGCTGGCGCTGGCACTTCTGGCAGTCATGAGGAGTAAGAGAAGCCAATGGGAGCATTTGCTCCTGTTGGCCTTCCTCTGTGAAGATGGTGCTAAGCTTGGCTTACGGTACGCCGACTTGCATACCTTAAAATTAGCTTCTGGTCAAGTGTAAACCTGGCCAGGGATTGCAATTAATTTTGTCATTTCTGGCCCTCTCAGGCTCAAACAGCTATAATGAATGAAGGAACAGAATGACTAATATCTGTAGTAATAGATATAGCTGGAATACTAAGGGAAATTAATTAATTAGGTTTCCTAATATGCTTTCTTACCAGAAGTTAGGGACCATAACTTTCTTCAAATGTTTCTTCATCCTAGATTTGAGAATAAAATGAGTAGTTTTAATTACATTAATATCCTTAAGGTGATTTACGGTGACAATCGATGTTTCGTTAATATGCAACTCAAGATTCTGCCCTCCCTTTCTTTGGAGTTCTGCGAGACTTGATCTGAAAATATTTTAAAAACCTCAAAGAAAGCACCTTTCCTCCGCTTTCCTCTTTGCAGATGAAAAATGGTTGTGGGCAGGTGCAACTCATCCTGTTAGTGAATCTTGTCCACTTGACAAGCAATATGTTTATTAATCTTAAGACTGAGAAATAACTTTTTGATTGACTGCACAGTGGTCAGTAAAAGGGTCAGGGAATCAACATCTTCCGCTTGCCTAAATGAATGAGTTTGAAAATGTAGTAAATGCCCTGAAGATCCTGAGAATGAAGTCACATTTCAAAGAATGAAAACTGAATGTATGTCTTGTATATCTTCACTTGTGGTGACCAGTCGGGCTGATTTTGACATCCCATCTGTTATGTCAAAACTCCTTAATAGTAGTATGCAGTTCAAAGCCTCCTTACCATTAGTGCTTTTGACATAAAAAGCTGTATTCTTATCCCATAGTTTGTGGATTTTATCATGTAACTCTCTCTGGGCATTAAGGTGAGAATATACTCTGTGGCTGCGTCTAGACTGGCAAGTTTTTCCACAAAAGCGGCCGCTTTTGCGCAAAAACTTTCCAGCTGTCTACACTGGCCACTTGATTTTGCACAAAACCATTGATGTTCTACTGTCCGAAATCAGTGCTTCTTGCGCAAATGCTTAAGCCCTTTTCCGGAAATGTTTTTGTGCAAGAGGGCCAGTGTAGATAGCTAAAAACTGTTTTGCGCAAAAAAGTCCCGATGGCGAAAATGGCGATCGGGGCTTTCTTGCACAAAACTGCATCTAGATTGGCATGGACGCTTTTCTGCAAAAAATGCTTTTGTGGAAAAGCATCCGTGCCAATCTAGACGCTCTGTTCCGCAAATGCTTTTAACGGAAAAACTTTTCCGTTAAAAGCATTTGTGGAAAATCATGCCAGTCTAGACGTAGCCTGTATGTTGTAGAATGGTGATTTTTCTTTACTGTTCTCAGTCTTCTGCGGTTGGAACAAAAACAATGCCTAGAGCATAGGTGGTGCTGAGAAATAGAAATAAATAGTTATTATCTTTGGAATGCGATAAACATTAATGAAATACCATTTAAAAAGGGAAATGTAAATTAGAAAATGGAAAACACTTATGCACCAACAGATTTTGTAATTACTGTATAGCTGGAGGTAGGTATTTGCAAATATATTAGAATGCCTCAGCTTTTTTTCTCTGTGTGATCATGCAAAACATACAGGAAAATCGATATGTTACAATAATACAGTTTGTGTGCAACAAAAGCTGATAGAGTGAGGCAGGATACCCCCTGTAAGCAATCATTAAACAAACTAGATTGCCAGTGTATTTATAATGTGACAAAGATATCCACGTAGATATTTCTAATGCACCCCTCTGAACAAGGGACTAGTTTGTGATGATTTAATGAAAGGTAATAGAGCAACAGCTACAACAGGCCCATACACAGGGGGCTGCGAAGGGTGAAATGCCCCCCCCCCCACTGTCCTTCATGGTCCGATTGCAGGCAACCTAGGGAAGAAAGGGGCGGAGCATTACCTCCACCTCCCTCCCTGTGCTCCAGCTGGCTGGGGGAAAGCAGGGAGGCGCGCTGTCCCAGCCTCTTGCCCCTGTGCTCCTGTCACGAGCGAGGCCGGGTGTGGGGTTGGGCGGCAGGAGGCACAACAGGAGGCCAGCCACTAGCCCTCCCACAGTTTGCCCCTCCCCCCCGAAATTCCTGCGTATGGGCCTGTACAACACATGGAAATGTCACACTATAAACATTCCTCTTAGATGGGGCAGTTTGTTTGGCTTCACTATAGGACAGTGCTGGACAAACTGTAGCCTAAGGAGCATGCACAGCCCATTGGAGTTCTATGTGTGGCCTACGAGACATTTTGTTTACTGTTGCCCATGCACCGAGTTGCCAGATTGTGCTGATTTGCATTCATTTAGGTTTTTTCCTACCGGGATTTACTGAAGATATGTGCACCTAAAGCAAGGACACGTGAAGTGAGGTGCCTACTGATTGCACTCAACGTTGACTGAGTGTCGTGCGCTCCTTCTGCATCCAGTCAGAGTACTGTTATGGTTCAGTTGGCACAGCCCACAAATTCTAGGCCGTGAGCAAAACTACCCTATCCCGGAAGACTGGCGTGGTTACAACAATCACTGAGATGGAGGAGGCCACTCCTGCGGCCCACGCGCTAGCCCAGGTTGCCCCTCACTGCTGTAGGACAAAGATTAGAAAAAAGGCCCTACGAAGAGAAGGAGAAGGGGGAAGGAGTGATGTCAGTAGATGAACGCTAGCGTCATTTGTGGCCTAATAGCTTTCTGTTTTTTATTTTTTTGTTTACCTTCCTAAATCTTATTATGGGTCTGATTCAAAGTCTATTGAAAACAATGGACGGAGTCCCTAGAGTGCATTGGGCTTTGGATACGGCCCCCAAAGCTTGTCTGCTGCTGATCGGTGTTTGCCAATACGATTTTTTTTTTTAAGTCTGAGGCAAATCTATTTTTTGCCATTTCTTTTTGCATTAAAACAGGCTGAAAAAAATAAATCTTTCCCTATTTGTACAAATTATTATGCTCCCCTCACGCAGGTAACTAAAAAATAGTTAACCTTTGAAAGGAAAAGTTGGTGTATAATTAGTGTTTATTTTGGACTAAATCCATGACCATGTTTGAAAAAAAAAATTGGTTGGATAATAAAATAATAAGCAATCGAATCAGCACTTCTGAGTACGCTGAGTGGCTGCTTAAATGTTTAGCAGAATGTGAAATATCCCTGCACAACTTTTCCCTGGAGCCACCCTGGCAGTAGCAGGCTGCTGCTGAAGCAGTTGGTATTGTGAGTGTTGTCTTCTAAAACAGACAGCAAATCCTGCTTAAAAACTGCCTTAGCAACAGTGACTGATGAAAATCATGGGGAACACAAATTGCAAATTCTGACAGTGTAGGGCAGGGCTACTCAACTTTGGAAACCCCAGGAGCCACAGTGATACTCCCAGCACATGCTGAGGGCTGCAACTTAAGTGTGGTTATATATACATGCAAGTATACATGCAAATAGCTTCTTTTACACTGATGGGCATGAATACAAAGGTTTAGGCAAGACGGCACAACACGCAAGCCCTATTTAAGTCAGTTCTGCTGATATTAATAAAATACAATATTTCCCTGATTTCCACCCCCGTGACAGCACTTTTAATGAGCAACAACAGTCCAGGAATTGAACTACTAAAACGCATATCAACAGAATGCCATTATATTGACTCGCCGTTGTGGAGCATGTTCCCAGTGGAAGCCATGTTCAAAGGATCCCCTCTGCAGGCCGTGTTGAACTCCACATAAAACTGCACCACGGGCTGCATGTGACCCACGTGCTATTTGTTCAATAGCTCTGGTGTAGGGTGTCTTCACAATTTTTTTTGCCTGTTTCAGAAACTGCTGTGCTTTTATATAACAAAAAAATTAATCGCACATAGTCTTTGTGTGGGTTTTTTCTTTCTGTTTTACAGCTGCAAACTGATGCTGGGGGTTAACCCATAGATTCCCTAGATTTGCTGGGATTTGCCAAAATCCTGGGCCATCCATATACTGTCCTTGCCTTTCCTCTTGAAATTGTCAAGATAAATCAATTAATTTTGAAATAAGGAAGCAGTTGATTAAAGGTAAAAAGAATGGGTATCTCCCATGGTGATTTCATCTTTGGGAATAATCAATAAAGGGTAACAAGACAGATATGCACCGGCCACTGAATTAAATTGAGCTGATCGCTATAGTAATTTCCCACAGAAAGAACATTGTGTTGTAATACAAGCGAAGAAGATTGAAGCCCATATTATGTGTTTTCTTTGACATTTGAGATGTCAACTTCAGTTTTACCATTGATGCCAGCATTTGTTTGACAGCCAACAGGCACATTTCTTATACAGTACTCTTGTACTGGTTTTGGATGGGAGCTTAGTAACACCCCAGGTGTCATATGTAGGTACCTAGTCATTATGCTGTGAGCTTATTTGCTAACTGAAAATTATTAACTCTTTTTAGGGAGAATTTGTCTGGGTATTTTGCATATCCCTTTTTATATAGAAAATTGATATTAATTTCATAAATGTTACTAGATTTCAATTCTCAAAATTGCCAGATTTATTTATCTAGAGCCAAACATGTTGGTGGGTACTTTGGAGACAGAAATAAAGATAAGCTCCCTGCTTTGAAGAGCTCACGTTCTGCTTTGA